GGCAACTCTCCTAGATAAAAATTCCTCTAATTGGAAACTGTAACCACTGCAGAACCACTTCACAGAACAAAGAGACAATTCAATTTAAGAAAAGGGTCTGCAATCAGGTGAGAGACTCATTCTTTGACTCAGCACATTGAAGTGATCAAGAATAAGCTGTCTATGTACTGCTAGAAAGAAATTACTCAAGTTGGTGAACCTTATCTCATCTCTTCACAGAGTAAAGAGCAAAACAGACTTTAAGAGAGGGGGCTAAGATCAAGTGAGAGATTCACTTCCACAGCAACCATATTGAGGTACTGGAGATTGAGAGGCCTGCAACTCCCCTGGAGAGAATCTGCTCAAGTTGGGAAAACTGGCCATGATGGGACTAGTCTTCAGAACAAAGAAGAACATATACTGTAGGAGAGAGGCCTAAAATAAGACAGTTTCATGCAGGACTGCACTGCTGACCAGGAGGACCTGAAGGATTTTATAAAAGGCAAACTCTCCCACTCTACAAGGTCAGAAAGGACTTCCAAGAGAGCAAGTTGTACACCCTCATAATTGGAATATTTAAAGCCTGCAACTAATTAAAAACATCATAAAAAAGAAACAATCAACAAGATATAATTGAAACAGTGGCTAAGAAGCTTCACATAATATCAAGAAAGCAGGAGGCCATGCAAAACATTGTAGATAAAAAAACAAAATAAGCCTTATCAAAGAAAAGCAGAGTATACTGTAGACCCAATAAATAACGAGAGATAGAGTGCCAGAAGAAGTAGATTAATATGGAGTTATATGAACAGCTGTGGAAGATGGTGCAAATAATGGAACAATGAATGTAAATCATTAATAAAGTGGATACTTCAGACATGAGGAGACAGACAATATATTGACATAGAGAAACATGAACAACTATAGAAGAAAATGCAATGATGAAAGAAAGAACTGAAATTATAGAAAAGAGGTACAGGAACTTAAAAAAAAATTTCACAAGACAGAGAGGGTATAGCCAAAATAGTACTAGAAATAACATAAATGCATGAAAATGAAATCCACAATATCAAGACCAAAAATGGCAGAAGTTTCCAACACTCTATAGGGGCAATAAAGCAGAATAGAAGAGATGTAACAGATAATCAGTGAGCTAATGACACAAACCTTAAAGGGAATACAATAGAAGAAAAATAAGAGACTGAATAAAAATTAAGAAAATTAGACTCATGTGAGATAACATTAAAAGAAAACAGTGTAATTGGAACTTCTGAATACAAGTGAGGCAAGCAAAACACTAAAAACACTGAAGAGTTACTAGAAGAAAATTCCCCAGGTATTATGAAGATCAGGCAAATATATACTCAAGAAACTCAGCAAACTCCAAAAAGACTAGATCCCAAAAGAAAAACATCAAGACACACCTCAGTTAAATTCTACAGCATAAAAGATATAGACAGAATAAAAGCAGCCTGAGAAAAATAGAATCACCTACAAAGGAAAAACCAATTAGATTACATTCTGATTTCTCAGCAGAAACCATGTGAGCAAGAAGACAGTGGGATGCAATATATTGAATGTTGAAAGAAAAATATTTGCCAACATAGGCTCCCATACCCAGCAAAACCATCAGATATGGAGGAGAAATTAGATCATTTGAAGAAAAGGAAGAACTCAGGAATTGTTTTTTTTTTTAAAATAAGGCCAACTTTACAAGAAATTCTAAGAGAAGTCCTTTATAGAGACACCAAAGGAAAATGGATGGGCCGCAGTAATCAGAAACAACAGAAAAACAAAAACTACAGCAAAATGACAAAGATAAAACATTGACTATCAGTATTCACACTTCATGCAGCTAGAAAAAATGTACCAATAAACGGGAAAAAAGGAAGCAGTATGGTAAAAAAAAGGCTCATCAATATGTTGCCTACAAGAGACACATCTAAGAAATGAGAAAAAGTATAGACTAAAAATCAAAGAGTGGAAATAATATACCAAGCTAATGGCACCCATAAAAAAGCTGGAGTGGTAATATTAATCTCTGCTAAAATAGACTTGAGGATGAAAAGCACCATAAAACAAGAAAACATAACCTTGGTTAATATCTACATACCAAATGAATGACTTGTTAAATACGTAAAACATTGGTTGTTGTTTTTGTTATATGCTGTCAAGTCACTTCTGACTCATGGTGACACCATGTACTATACCCTGATACCTCTGGCCTCATTACCCAGTCACTGAATCCACCCATCTCATCGATGATCTTCCTCTCTTTCTCTGTCCATCCACCCTTCCAAGCATGATGTCCCTCTCCAAGGACTGGTTCTTCCTTGAAATATGCCCAAAGTATGTCAGATGAAATGCCTCCAAGGAGCATCCTGATTTCACCCTCACCAGGACAAACTTGTTTGTTGTCCTAGCAGTCGATAGTATATTTAACACTCTTCCCCAGCACCACAAAGGTATCAATTCCCTTCATATCATCCCTAGTCATTGTCCAACTCTCTGACACATGAGAAGCAATTAAAAGGCTTGAAAAAAGACTAGACAGCACCACATAGTGGTAGGAGACTTTAACATTATCACTCTCACCAAAAGATAGGGAAACTCAAAAGAAACATAACAAAGTTGTGAAGATCTAAACTATACAGTCAATCTTGTGTATATATTCAATGTATAGCACTCAATTAATAGTCAATTTACTTTCTTCTTAAGTACACATGGTACCTGCTTTAGAATTGAAGGACACTTTGTGTCCTTATTTTAGGACAGAAAGTAAGCTTCAACACATTTAAAAAATACTTAAATAATACACAGTATCTTTTCAGATTATTGTTTTTACTTTGTTAAGTGCCTTCAAGTTGTAGGCGACTGTTAGCGACCCTATAAACGAAAGTCCTCAACCCTTGTGTTCGTGATTTTCACCCTTTCTTCAGGTTCATGGGGTTTCCGGAGGCAAGCTATTTATGGAAGTGGATGCCACTCCTGCTTCCAAGCTTGTTTCAACTGGAGAGCACCACCGAACACTGTCCACCATGGGTAACCATCTTCTAGGTCATATAGCTTTTCAGATTAAAGTGTCATAAAACTAGAAATCAAGGACAGGAAGTAAAGCTTTAAAAAAAAACCAAAAACAAACACAATCCATCCATGTGAAAGCTATTTAAATAACACCATGCTAAAACACGATTGGGCTATAGAAGAATTAAAAAATGAAATAAAAAAAAAAGTCCTTGAAACAAATTATAATGAAAATATAGCATATGATATCCTCTGGGATACAGTTAATGTAGTCCTCAAGGAATAGTTCATAGAAATAGGTAAACATAAAAAAAAGAAGAAAGAAGCAAAATTAAAGTCCTAACTCAACACCACCATCAAAGAGAAAAATAAAAATAACTACAGACTCTAGTAGAAAAGAAATTATAAGGACAAGAGCTGAAAGCAATGATATATTATTGATGTTCTTGGGTGCCATCAAGTTGAAAACAACTAAAAGCAACCATATGAATAACATAACTGAACCCTGTCCTATTGTGTACCATCATCACATTTTCTGACACATTTGAGCCTGTTTTGGTTCCTCTCCTTTGCTGACTCTCAACCTTTCTAAGAATCATGTCCGTCTGCAAGGAATAGTCCCTTCTTGCAACATGCCTAAAGTATGTGAGGTCAAGCCTCATTATGCTTGTCTCCAAAGAGTATCCTGGCCATCCCTCTCCAAGGATTAATGAGATGTAAGACAGCAAAACAATTGTAACCATCAAAAAGACCTGGAATTGGTTCTTTAAAAATGTCAATACAATTAACAAATTATCGACAAATTTAAAGAAAGAGAAAATACCAATAACTCAAAAACGCAATTGTGGAGGTCACATTACAACAGAACCAAATTAATTCAATACTATCAGAATATTATGAAAAGCTTTACTCCAGTAAATTTGAAAATCTAAAAGAAGTGGACAATTTGTTGGAAGTCACAGTGCATCCAGATTGACAGAGTTGGATGTAGAAAATACCCATCATAAAAAAAGAAATTGAGCAAGTCATAAAAATACTCCCCTACTAAAGAAGTCCTGGCACAGATCACGTCAGGCTGAAGTGATGTATCAAGCATTCAGAGAAGATCTATCACCAGATCATTTTAAATTATTTTTAAAAACAGAAAAAAAAGAAGAAACACTCTCAGAGTCATCATATGAAGCAAGCATAACTCTAATGTCAACACTAGGCACAGACATTTGCAAAAAAGCAAACTATAAATCAATACTCTCTCGTAAATACAGATGCAAAAATCCTTCCTTTTCAAAGTACACTGAAGTAGGATTACATCCTGAATACAAGAAAAGGTATTAGGAATCTGTATAAAGCTTACAGGCAATGGTAATGAAGTAAATTACATGACTGCCTGGACATTTGGAAAGAATTGTTATTCCATTGTTGTTATGTTTCACTGAGTTGCCAGAGACTCATTATTATTTTGCAAAAATTAAATTGCAGTTGAATACATTTTATTTACTGTTTTCTTCTAAGTAGGGTCATTTCCAAAGAAAAGGTTAAGGGTAGAAGAAACTCATGTAGTTCTGAGTCATGTAGTTTAATTTTTCTAAATTGCTTACCTTTAGATCATCTTCTTTTAGGAAATGAGAATTACCTCATTTTCACACCATTCCAACCTCACTTGTTTTCTAGTTCTCCCTATCCTGCCATCAGTTAAAATCCATAGTATAAAAGCTGTCTACACCTTCAGTTCACTAAATCCATAGTATAAAAAGTCTCTGCCTACACCTTCATTTCACTTTTCAGTTACCAGGGTACAAAGCTTTCTTTTTCCTACCTGTACACTGGTAGTATTACTGTGAGCTTCTGGAACTCATGAAACCATTAAAAAAAATATTCGAAGAAAATGTTTATTTTGAATTTTAATTTTGTTGTTGTTTTTCTGGGTTTGGAGTTTCTTTGTTGTTTGTTTTTTAGATCCTTTTTCATATTCAAAAATAAGTAATTGGCCTTCTTACCTGAAAAACTTCCTAGTCTCGGTGCAGTCATATCACCACCGTCATAAATCTCAAGAGAATCCCAGTTCTGTTCTGTAGCAAAGCTGATCACTTGAATCTATCAAAGAAGAATATGGCATTAATGTTTACTTTCAACTTAAAGAAATGTGCTTAATTATATGAGAATTTTAAGAAATACAAACACATATATGCATATATATTATATATATCCATTTGTTTGTGTGTATAGTCAATGCAAATACTATTAGAAAACTATTAGAAGGCATAATAAATATCCATGAATGGTATTTGACAGTTTTTATTATAAAAATAAAAAAACAGAATTTTAATTTTAAATTAAGGAATATGATTAGAAACTACAGAGATATTAAGAAAAATACAGCACAGTTGTTTATAATTTATTATAATAAAGAAAAAAGTACAAGGAAGAAGATTGAAACGGGGACATCACCTAAGCTCTGGTGTTTGTGACTTTGAATATTAAGAACTTACCTGAATTCCAGATCCTTCTGTGACTATGATTTTCCATATACAGTTTAAGTTGTTACCATATGGTTCAGGGTAACCAGGGGATAGGATTGTACCTCTTCGCTGAGTGAAATTGCCACTGCAGGGAACTAAAGGCCAAAAATAATTACATTTAATAAAAGTGGAATGCATTGAAGCAAACATTGATTTTGTGTTTCACTTTATTTGGGTGTGCTATCTAAAGTTTAGAGAACTTTATGCATACTATGCTATTTTAATTAACACTTTTCAGCCAAGTTAAAATGTGATTTGCTTCTTCCTGTTTTAATAGTAATACTATTGATTATGCCCTAGTTTCATTCTCTTAAACTATAAGTCCTGAGAATTTATATATTTATATATATATTATTTTTTTTCTCAAGTTCTTTATCATGGACAATAAATAATAAAGACCTCTTTAAAACTAATTCTGCTTAGAATAATATATCTACTGCTATTTAAGTTCTTTGGCAGAACATTTTCTTCTACATTCATATAAGGAACTCCAAATGTTATTAATGGATTTATAAGAAAGTCCAAAGAGGATAGAAATTTAAAATGTATAAATGAATTCAAGTATAATCATGATTGCAAGAGAGGTTCTTACACAAAATGAAACAAATAAATTATAACTAATAATGCCATTGTTATTCCATCTGCATTAACCTATTACTTTGTGAACATTCATCAGCATAAATTTATTAAAGGGACATTACACAAGTAATATAGCAAATCAACATATTAATGATTTTCCTCAAAATGAAATTATGTTGTATATTCATGGCTTTAGAGCTGATGGCAAACTTAATAAATAGTGAAAACATGCTTTATACTTGTTAATACGATGAGCTATGAAACAATATATGCTAAGATTTAACTACCATTCAATTATTTTTGACAAAATAAATTATTCTTTAAATAGGTCATGAGCATGATCAGTTGGTATAGATAGAATAGATGCATAGAAAAGAGGTCTATACCACAATTCCGAAATTCAGAACTAAATCTTCATGCATGTTATCATGCCTGACACATTCATGCTTACCTACACAGCTTGGTATGGTGTCATTCCACTGAGCTAAAGCATTTGGCACAGACTGACAGCGGATAGCCGTGGAACCTTGAAGTAGATATCCTGGATTACATTCAAACCGAACAATCGAACCTGCTGAAAATTCAGAACCAATTCTCCTTCCATATCTGGGCTCAGGGACAGAACTGCACTGAGTGTCACTGGTCCGAGGAACAGCTAAAAGTGAAACACAAGAATGAAACTTTATTTACCTTCAAGAAGCCAAACTTTTCCTTTGAAAGTAGATTTAATGAATCTAGGGAGAATTTATGTTGCTACAGAAATGAAGAATCAGTTATGTAAAGGATGCTTTTATAAACACATTTACACTTATATTCTACCTTCATGTCAACCTTGGTGAACACCTGAAAAATCTCATTTTCAGATGAGAAAAATGGTGTGGACTTGGGATTAGTGCTTTGTGAGAAATAATTGATACTCAGTTAAAATTAGTTGAGCGGACATATCATCTTGCTTGTGACAATGAGATGACAAAGAATTTGTCCTTATCTTCCAGGACTTTAGAATGCAATAAGAAAAGCTGGTATATAAATGATGTATAAATAATTGCACAATTTTAATTAATATAATAATAAATGTATTATGGGACGGAATACACAGAGTCACTGTATCAGAAGGAATTGGCTGACAGAGAAGAATTTTATGAAATGACATATGAGCAAGAGCTATGGTGATGAAAGAGGAAGTTCAAATTGCTTTGAAGGAATTGGCAAAAAACAAGGCTCCAGGAGTTGATGGCATACCAATTGACATATTTCAACTGACAGACACTGGCCTGGATGTGCTAACTAAGTTGTGCCAAGAAATCTGGAGAACAGCCAGCTGGGAGATGGATAGTTCCAATGACAAACAGTTCCTGGCATACAAGAAATGTGGGAACGACCCTGGGCTGTTGGCACAGGATAGAAGAGCGTATAGAGCTCTTGTACATAGGGTCGCTATGAGTCGCAAGCAACTCAATGGCACCTAACAACAACAACAACATGGCAAGAAAAGGAATTACCTTTTTTTTCTGGATGAGAATAGTTTGTAGAGGAAAAGTGAAGAGGTGTAGTTTGGATCTAAACAGAGCTAGTAATAGAAGCCACATTTTATGAGAGGTGGTAATGATAAATGGAGTTATGAGGCCTGAGACAATCTTTTCAACACTTAGTGAGAAGATGTGAAGTATAAAAAAAAAGTATAATAGTATAATTGTGTGCGTTGAGTGTTTAGGAAAGGCAGAAAAGTTTAATGTTTAGTAAAATATTCTAGCTGGTGAAGATCACATTTTCCTGAAGGAGGAAGGAAGGAAGGAAGGAACGAAGGATGGAAGGAAGGAAGGAAGAAAGGAAGGAAGGAAAAATCTGACATCTCTCAGCTGGTAGTTGCTTGACACTAAGCGCTAAATTATACAGTTGTACTACTGAAAACCAACAATCATAATGAACATGAGGGTGCTCCCTTAATATATTCCCAATGGTTATAATCTCATTTGAGAATGAGTTTTCTTTGTTGTGTTTATGAAGTACTGCTAGTGCATAGCAATCTCCTTCTTTTATATAAAGGCAATTCAACAAGTAAGGGAGCTGTCAGAGATGGGACAAGATAGAAATTGCACCGCATGAAGGTCCCCAGGGAACCAATGAGCAAGGACCCTCCCCTAGAGCCCAGAGAGAAGGTAAACATTTCCCTAAAGCCAGCATCTTGAATTCAGTATCTAGACTGTGAGAAAAATAGTCTTTGCTAAAGCATTCAATTCAGCTATAGTACACTAGATAAACACACTAGATAAACTAAAAACAACATTTGTTTCATTGTCATGTATTATCAAGTCACCTGGGACCCATAGTCACCCTATGTACAACAGCTCTGAAGCCTGCTCTGTCCTGAACCAGTCTCACTGACTCCAACACACCTACCCCCATTGCCCTAGTTACTGCACCAATCCCTCTCCCCCAAGGTCTTTCTCTCCTATGCTGTCCATCCAAAAATAGGGTCACCCAGAGACCACTCTATCAGTTCTTGTCTGATGACAATGGCAAGAGCTTTATGTTAATTCCACTAAAAGACAGAAATCATCCCCTTACAGTTTCCATGCAGCAGTGTCTCAGTATCCCTATTGCTAATTATAGGTTATCTCTGCTTCCATCTCCTAGACAAAAGTTAAGATGTCTTAACTCTAAGATGGTAATATAATACCCCTTTCTACTTCAGTACACAGCAAAACTACATTGAACTGAATTCTTTCTCAAATCTTCTAACATGAACATCCACCCTACAAGCCCCTTCTGACCGACCCTCTCTTAACTGCACATATCAAGGTTTTCTTTATTGTAACAAGTAATAAACCAGTTCGGTATGATTTGGAGTCTTGGCCTTTGATATTGAGCATCAACAATTGTTTCTAAATGCAAGGCAAAGAGTAAAGAAGATATGTATTTAAAGAGTTTATGCAAATTCACTGACTAGATAAGATGTTATTGTTCAGCACAAGGGGTTATAAACTAAAGTTCAAAAACTACTTCAAATGAAAGATAGATGAATCAAAGCAAGCTTATATTTTGCTCATTTAAGTCTGCACATTTTGCTTTTCTTCTTAGTCAAAACTTAGTTTGTGTTATTAATAATTCTGCCTTCTATTCCCTTTAAGAACACAAACTAGACAAGGATGCCCATTATCTCCTCTCTTTTTCAATATTGTATTGGAAGTCTTAGGAATAGCAATAAGACAAGATAAAGACATTAGAGGTATACAAATTGGCAAAGAGGAAGTAAAACTATCCCTTTATGCAGATGACATGATAGTATACTTAGAAAACCCTAAAGACTCAGCAAGAAAACTATTGGACATAGTT